CTCGGGTTAGTATATCTGTAGGGAATACCGGAGGGCAAAGGGTAGCTTGATGTTGCTAGGAAACCCTTTACCCTGTAGATCTCGACCTAGGTGCTCTCGCATATTGATTTGGAGGCTTGACACCGCCGAGTCGACGTTGTTCGCTCCTCCCCGATGCCGCAGAAGGTGGCACGAGCCACCCTCCTCGTGGGGTTTCTCCTCCTCTCGGATGTTAGAGGAAGCTCCATGAGGTGGGACACCTAGAATCATCTTCCAAGCGTCGTTCGAACTTGTGAAGGTTGAAGGCAGGGAGAGGGTTGTAGTGCACCTTCGTCTGACTTCTACGCTTCATGAGATGTCCATCACCTTAGTAGCAAACTTGAACCTAAACTTAGATGTTTTATCATAACTGTAGCAGTTTCTGATAGATTTTGGTTATTATAAGCGTGATGATGTAAGAGGTAGCAGAGTTTAATTGAAAAAGAATGACTTTTGTTGATTTCGAATACTACTACTTGTTTCTCGATTAGATCGGGTGGTTTGAACAATTTCGTTCAGTCAAATTCGACCTTGCATTTTTACGGGCCCCCTTCCCGACCCAATGGGTAGTTAGTGTAACTATGGGTTATGCAAGGCGACTCGATCTAAAATTTTTCTCCGACCAAGTGCGATCGTTCATGGCTCCGGAAGCCAGCAATCCTGAGAGCTCAAGGACTACTTGGGCGAATACAGAACGCATGTAAGTCTCTGTGGCTGTGGTGTAAGCTATTCTGTCGAGTTAATAATGGGTAGAACAAGTGACGTCCGCTATCCGGAAGCTGCAGGATGAAGCCTGACTAGCTAGGGCACGTCATGGAACTCTTTTTTTAGATTTCAGGAGCTTGTACTTTGGTTGCAGCCATGGGCTGACCAGTTTTTCAGTTTCCCCCAGAGGGGCACACATCCACTGAAATAAGGTACTTGGAGCCTATCCAAACATTCAAAGGATTTATTTAGCCTCGAGGCCAGAGGTTTTAGGATCGGCTAGCGACCCCCCCTGAACATCCCCATCACTCTAGAAATGGCAGGGTTCGGCTTTCATGATTCTGAGCCAGAATCACTGACTGCACCTGCCACTTTGATGGGCTATGCCATGCTTTGGTGGCTCCCAAATGTTGGTCCTTTCGGTTTCACCAGCAATTTTGGGCCTCAAGCCCAGGGTCCATAAGGGTTTTTGACTAGTATTAGCCTCCCTTATAGGTTAGCCAAGGGTGGAGATGGTACATCCCTTTGTCGCCACCAACAAAAGTAGTAGTGCTCACTCCTTTGCTTACCTTGACCTAGTAGACGTTGTCACATCTAGATCCTGCTCCCGGTAGTCACAGTCATGGCACTGAGAAAGACCCTGGCTAAGAAACCCAAAACCATTAGTTCAGTAAGTGAAGAAGATACGAGCTCGAAGAGCAAAGGGGGACAGAGTCCCATCCCCCATTCTTCGTGGGAGGTGTCAACAATAATGGAGAAGGACATCAAGAATCTTGTGGTTGGGGGGTTCCTGGTGCCAAGGGAGCTTTTGGGTTACCGGTGTGCCCTTGGCTAGGATGTGCCTGCCCCCGATTCTAGCGAGATTGTAGCTTCGTCGACTTCTTCCGCCGCGGATTTGGGGTGCCCATCCACTAGTTTGTTTGAGATCTCCTCCGATACCATGACGCATAGGTACACCACCTGACCCCGAACAGGATCTGCTTCTGGCAATGTTTATTTCCTATTGTGTGGACTTCGCAGGAATCAAACCCCACTGGGTGTTGTTCTATCATTGCTTTGATGTTCTTCCTCAATCTGACCGAAAGGTCACTGGCAGCCTTTGGATCAAGGTAGCCGACAAATCTCCCTTCTTTCACATTGATCTCCCTTCCAACGTCCCAAATTGGGCAAAGAAGTTTTTCTTATGTTTACGACTGCTTGGCCCTGGCCTTCTCCCACAAGCTCCTGCCCCCTCTGCCATTGGCAAAGAAAGAGGAGGTTCCCGAGTCTGAGCAGGAAGAAGTAGACGAACTCGAGAGTGACCTACAGGATTATCACCAGAGGAGAGGGGTTACTGGTCAGGCTTGCCTGGCGGCCTTCTTTCAAAGGTGGATCCAGCACCTAAGGGAACGTGCATCCCTGATGTGTGACTCTCCTGACACCATTAGTCTATCGGGGGAGCCCATCGAGCTAATGACCACGCTTTTGGTGTTGGTTGTTACCAACAAGGTGCTAGGTCCAAAATCCTAGCTCACAAGCAAAGACCGTCTAGTGGAGCCCCTGAGCTCGAAGCTAAGAGATGATGCAAACTCAGTAAGGTGTCAGTTGTTTGGTGATCAGCTGAGGACCCACTCTGATTTCCTTGTGTAACTTTCTCCATTTTGTAGGATTGCCGGAAGTACCACTCTAGGGCCCCTTTGGACAAGGTCTAGGAGTGAAGGACGATGGGGCAGAGACATCCACCAGTAATGGTGGGATATCCGCACTTTGAGAGGAGTTGGGTGCCATTGGCCTCGCTCCCCGCTTAGGCCATGTCAGTCGTAATGCGCCGGTTCGGGCATGCAGACGAGGAGGTGTAGGGCTATGGCAGAGTCTGCCAGCACCAATGAGGGAGCTTCGAAGAAAAAGAGGCAACGCTAAGTGCAGGCAATGGTAGTGCTAGGTATGTTGGTTATCCTTGGCCAGTTATGGTCTTAGCGTGTGTGAATTCGACTTACCACGAGTTGCTCGCAGTGCTGAGGGCTCTAGGGTCGCCTAGGCCCACCGATGACAAGCCATCAGCTAGGACGGTCTTAGTCATTGGCAACTTCAGCCTGAAGGTGGAGTATGTCCCCTTCGAGCAGCATTTAGGAACCTCGCATAGGTGGTAGATGAAGCCTACACTGCTGGATGTCCTGAGTAATGAGAACAAGTAAGTTCAATTCCTTTATCTCACGGTCTTATCGGGTGATGAGTTGAAGGCCTTGTCAACCGAGAGGTGGCCTGAAATGATCATGCTAGGCAGTGCTAGTGATACCATAGCTCTAGGAGTTCGCTCGAATGAGAGTGAGGATTTGAGTATTTCAGAGAGGATTTGGGTCACTCATACCCTTAATGATTTCATGGCTAGTTTCGACATAGGTGCACCACCTTTGGAGGATGCTCGGGAAGATGTTTCTCTGGTGATCTAGGCAGAGCTTGGGTAGGCTAAACCTGCTCGGGTTCCTAGCGTGGGTGCCCAAGGGAAAGAGCCTATCACTGAGGCGGTCCACGAGCCCGGCCCATTAGAGCCATCCCTAGAAGTTATTCTAGAGGATGGCCTAGAGAGGGTCTTGCTGTGAATTAACTCTCCCCCACAGGTGGATGATGTCCGCCTGGTTCCTCTTGGGTTTTGGGCCGAACAAGGAGGGGGAGGTCCATCACTGCAAGCTTTCGACACTGAAGGCGAGAGCTTGTTCAACGATGTCGAGGAGCGACGTCGTCTCGTCTCAGGCTTCTGAAAGCTGGATGGGATGGCAAAAGACACGGATAGTTTGTCAGCTGCACTACAAGCCCTTGCCAATGCCGTGAAGACTAAGAGCATCTCGTCTAGGGATTCCCTTAGTGCTACCTTGGAGGTACGATTCACGTTGGGTGCCCTAGCCCTTGAGCATCAGGTGCCCTTGGTTTATACTCAGGGCTGTGCAATGGACTTGATAGGTCTAGCCCCTGAGTCTTTGGTTGATTCATTTTGAATGAAGCTAAGACTTATGCTATCTTGTTCTTGTAGTATCTTCAGAAGAATTCTTTGGCCAAGTCTGCGTTTATCCGGGAGAGGTTCTCTCGGCTGGGCGATGAAGCAAAGGTGCGAATAGCCGAGCTGGAAAGAGAGGTGGCAGCCCTAAAGTGCCATTAGGACGAGACCCAAGGTGGGGTTTCCACCGAGATCATTCTCCTTAATGTTTGATGAGGCTTGTAAAACCTTTATTACCTTTTCAACTGTTGCCAAGGCTATTGTCGAGCTATACCGAGAGAAGGCCACTTTCCATGCTCAGGCTTCGCATACTAGAGGGAGAGGCAGAAGCAGGCGTTTGCTCAGGAAGAGACAGAGAAGCACTAGAAGCAGTTCCAAGGCATGTCTTGTTGTCGACAATGAATCGTGTTATGATTGTATGCGGATTTTTTGACTCATACACTTTGTTCGTAGCGGAGTCGGCTAAGGCGACGTGCCTCAAGGATGAACTTGCTGAGTGTAAGTCTGAGTATGTGAACCTAGAGGCCATGGCAGTAGAAGCTAATTGGCTACACACAGGGACCCTTTTGGCCATGGAGGCAAAGTACGTGTTGCGGATGTCATCCCTTGAGGATAATCTCAGGAGCATAGTCGCGGCTGGCCGCGCTGCTTGCCAGGTGGCCTATGCCCAGCCGGGAGGGCTTGCCTCTTTGTCAAAGGTGGATTCCTAGCTGAGGGGGATCCCAAGGCGCCTTGAAGAGATTGCCCAGTATGGTTTGTCCACCGGAGCGCACATGGCATTGGTGACCGTCGGAACAATCTACAGTGACCTAAACATCGGCTCCATCAGACGGAAACCCGTTGACATGGATCCCTTGGTGTATAGTCAAATTCCACAATAGGCCATAGAACCTTTCGAGGCCATCATTCATAGGGATGAAAACAGTCAAAAATGATGGAAAAACCCCTCAACCGTTTTCTACATTTACATTTGAATAAAAAAATGAATGCGAAAATGGTAAAGCTAGACACGAAAACGAACACAAACTTACAGAATATCGAAAACGAACCAATTCTAGTAGAATTATGTTGAACATGGTCGGTATACGAAAATTCAATATGGAATACTGACCCATAGAGTCCATAACAATTAACAAGTGCATGACCCAAGCACATAAAAATTACCAAGTGCATGATCAAGTTCAAGCGCATATAATAATTAACAAGTGCATGACCCTTGGTCTTAAGTATTAACACAATAGCTGATAGCCAGACACACAAATACAAGTCTAGAAGAAACAATTAACACTAATAGATAACAAAACATCTACAGTTCATTAGCATCATCCATGAGGTCAGGATCACTTTTCATGTCTTTTGCTTCCTCATCCCCCTCCTTGTCCTTTTCCTACAAGTTTGCAAAGTGAATTCAAATTAGATGTAGCAACTAGCATATTTCAGAGCAAGCAGTTAATAAACATACCTCAATTTTCAGTTTAGCCACAACATTAGCCAAAGCCTCAACCTCAAGATCACTCACAATTGATCCAACCATTTTAGAATCTGAACAAAAAATGAGAAAGGAAAATAATCAATGCATTATTCTACTACAATTATAAGTGTGTCTAACTAAAAAACAGATAAAATGAGCACCTTTTCTTGCTGCAGCAACCCAATCCTTTGTGCAAATTAATGCATGTACCATCTCAGGATCAAGATGACTACGATAGGGATCAACAACACGACCAACAGCACTAAAAGCAAACTCGGATGCTACTGTTGATACCTATATGGCCATTACATCCCGAACAATTTGCGAAAGGATAGGATATTGTTCTCTCTTGTTTTTCCACCATGCTAAGATGTCAATCTCACCAACAATTTTCAGAAGTGGTTCTGCAATATACCTCTCCAACTCATTTGACTCAACCATAGCAGGTTCACTTGCATCATATAAGAATTCTTCTAGGTCATGGTCTACATTTCCCATTAATATATCAGCTGTGTTACTAGGTCTAGGTGTAGCCCCTTACTAATTTTCTTTGATGATGTAGGAGCAGAATTAACATAAAAGTTGTACAATTTCTTTACGATAGTAACAAACTCATCAAGTTCAACTTGATAATGATCACCATAGAACTTCTTCATGTAGTACTCTATCAGCCTTTTCTTATACCTAGGTTCAAGAAAACAGGCTATAGCTAGAGCAATGTTGGACTGCTACCAATATTTGTCAAATTTGTCATTCATAGCAATTGCCATATCTCTAATTGTAGCATCTCCACTACAACACTAGTCGTCAAGCAAGAGCTTTATATCACAGAAACCTCTATAAAATAAGTTTGCAGTAGGATATGAAGTGCTAGCTAGAATTTTAGTGAGATCATAAAATTTCTTCAAGCAACCATAAATTGTCAATGCATTGTCCCATTCAGCAGAAGATGGAGAAATCTTGGCATACCTACGGTGATTTGAAGACTTCAGCTAATGCATCCTTGTAGTACAAGGCATCTCTCCGCATTAGGTAGGTAGAATTCCACCTAGTTGAAACATCCATCGAGATACCCCTCTTTGTATCCAACCTAGCGTCGGTGGCACGCATCATAAGCTCTTCCCACTGTAACAGAACCGACCAAATCATAAGAATGTAAGTACAAAAACAATCACCGAAGTGATCAAATTCCTGTACTTAAGCTCCCATAATCCCGGTAGTCCGGAAATCACGAAGGATTTCAACCAACTCTCGACATACAAACCAAGACCGTAGTGATTCAACACAACACATCATTTGTTACAACATTTCACAAGTAGCATTCGGATTACATCCATCAGAGTTCAAATAAAATATTACAAACCAAGTTCAAATTTGTGGAAGCAACATAGTTTAGTACATAACTTCATAGTTTCAAATACATTGCCAGATCTTAGTCATGTCCCACAAAAGCATCTTCAGATACGAGAACTAGGAGAGACCACGCCCTAACGGTCTAGTCTTCATCCCCAACAAGGGAGAAGGCAAGATTTGCAAAGACAACCAAAGTAGAACCGGTCATCCGCAATGGTGGGAGATAAACCACGAGTACGAGAAGGTACTCAACTAGACTTACCCATCAAAACCAGAAATAAAAGACACCAAGGGTCATGCAAGGCTTATGAGGTGGGCTAATGGACACACGATTGCATAAAAGAGCTTATGAGCATAGTAACCAATTTAAACTTAGCATCAAGCTTATCATCATTTACCATCCACTAGATTAGCACATGTACTAGAGCACTCACTTATTAGGAGCAATCAATATTAACCATAGCAGGTATAATAAGGTGTCATCATCATATCATCATTTCGAACCATTATGTTATTTAGTGTATCTACTTTGGAGATAAGCCCGTCAAGTTCTCACTAACCGGAGAGACGGCGACTCGAATCGAATTACAACTCAGGTGAGGGGTATTCTAACTCTCACCCGGCATACTTTGCAAGGGTAGCCGTGGGTCACCTTTGGGACAACTCAGAACCAAATTCGCGGGTTCGATCAAGCGCCAAGACTCTCGTGGATTACCCTTCCGCCAGACGATCGGGACTTTTAAATCACCGCCCTTGGACTCACGCCCACGGCTCCCTTCCGAGGCGCACTTTATACTTATCGACTCCCGGCCGAGGTGAGCTACTCGGCCGTGGTCGGTCTTGACACTGGCCAACTAAGAGAGAGGCAAGCGTTCAACATGAGCAGGAAAGGCTCCAAGATTCAGTCCTTAAGCGACACAGACGGAGTCATCGCAGAACCTGGCAAGCCTCCGCCTGGGTCTTCATTTCAAATTAAGACAGGTTGTTTTTCGAGATAGCAAATATAGCCAACTGTGCCATATGTATGTCCCTATATCTCGCAGGTGATAGGAAATCACCCGACTTCTACCGCGTTTAAGTAGGGCTAAGCACTACACGAACCTGAGCTACATAGGATTCAGGGTATCAATATCTGGACAAGGATTGGATAACCAATGCAGCAAGTGTTTGCATCCAACAGCTAAACTTAATGCAACAATATATATATGTAACAATAATACTTTAAGTGCATTTTGGAAATTAGGAGGCTTAATATGCTCCGGGGCTTGCCTTTCACAAAGTTGCATGGATGGTGATCTGGGCACTCAACGGCGACCTCGTCTGGCACCTCTCCCGTGGGCTGCACCTCCTAAATCTCCGGTGTTGGCTGCTGCTGCTCCCCGCTCGGTTCCTCGAATTCCAGTAGTGTCACACCTTCCGGTACACCTATTGCATGCCGATGCACAAGATAAATATCATGGATGCATAAGGAATGACATGATGCTCATGATGAATGAATCACAGTAAATGTTTAACGAAAACATCACTGGACACTCGTTTACCGATTAAGAATAGCTCTATTCAAATCACTTTAAACATGTATCTAACTTAATTTGAAGAATGAGATCAACTTACCTAACTTGCATAACCTAAGATAAAGATGCTCATCTTCAGTTAAAGGCCTAACACCTAGGAACATTACCACAAGCTTAGGAAATAGTAAAGGCATACTTAAATCAACAGTTAAAGTTTCATATGCACACGAGTAGTTCCTTAATTCAATCACAACAAGAGTTCTACAAATCCAAATGACTTGCATGAGGACATTCTGGAAAGCTTATGAAATTCTCTACAAATCATTTGTAAACATCAAAGCATGATTCCTACGTTAACCAAATCGAATTTAAGTAAACCTAGAATCAGTCCAGAAATGATAGGTTTACTAAATTAATTATTTAGTGATGATGCAAAAGCATAACTGTACCAAACCAAGTTTACCATCTTGTTGTGCATACCAGAGGAACAACAGAAAGTATAGTGCCAACTTCTAAATAAATTATTTAATATCCTTTTCTAATTTATTTAGTCAATTAGGTGATTAAAGCAATATATAGTAAAACTGTTCAGAAAATCTACAAAAATTACAGTAGCTATCTCATGCTTCACATAGACTACCATAAAAATTTCAAAGCCATTGGGCAAGCAGAACTTGCGGTATCCAAAATAACAGGTGGCATGTCTATTTCTAGCATAATTGGGAAACCCTATTAAAAAGTGTCAAGCAACAGATTTCTCATTTTTCCTAGCATCATTCTAGCATAAGAATAGCACTCACCAAATTTTACCTTTACTGGATGTATAGAAAAATTATGAAAATTCACACAAGATCCATCCATGCAAACAAGAGAATTTTCTATCTCCTACATATAGTGTCCAAAATATATGAAAATTTAACTACAAGCTATTCATGATATGAGTAGTACACCATAAAAATTTCATGCCATTTGGAGCTACCTAGAAAAAGATATAATTACCCCTATTTCCTTCATGATTAAAAGAGATAATTAGCAACTCCATTTTTCATAACACAACATGGCATAAATTATATTTTTAATATAAACTAGACATTATCATGAACTCAACAAAATTGGAACCACATCATTTGAAGCTACCAACTAGGAGATACACATTTTTGAACATGCACACAAATCTGTGAAAAAAGAATAAACAAAACATTTTTGAAACCCTAACTCTACTGCTGGGCCGGCCCGAACAGACTCGGCGGCCCGCGATGCATGCGCAAGCGCAGCCCAGACTCGATGCGGCCCAGGACTCGCTCCTGCCTCTGCTTCAGCGACTGACAATGGGGCCCCGCGAGTCAGTGAGTCAGACAGGGGAGGAAGAAGAGACGGCGGCGCAACTCGTCGCCGGTGGCAGCTCCGGCGAGGTCATCAGTGCTACGGTGTTCGCCTCACCCATGCACATCTAACGGTGCCATCAATTGAAGATATTGCTGTGGCTAAAGGGGGTGGCGACGGCCATGGCGGCGCACAGCCACGGCTTGGCCGGCTCCGGCGAGGTCCGACCCCGTAGGGCGTGGCTAGGCTCGGTATGAGCTTTTGGAGTTCACTACCGACCTAAATAAGCAAGGAAGAGGGGATGGGAAGGCCGCGGTGGCAGTTGGCCACGTGGAGCGCCAACTCCAGCGAGGTACCGCCATGGCGGCGGTGGAAGAAATGGCGAATACGCCCTTACCGAGCCTCAAACGACCCGACAGAAAGGTGGAGGAGGGAGAGGAGATCACGGCGAAGCTAGGGGCAAGATGGCCGACGCGTTTTTGCAGTGGCGAGCGCGCAAGGCGATGACGACACTCTGTCGGAAATGGAGAAGCGACTGTGGCTTGTCGCTGCGCGCGGTGGAGGCGAAGCAGTGCAAATGGAGCTGACGACCCGTTCGGGCAGGCGCGTGGGGTGCTCATGTCGTGGCCAGCAGCGCCAGGATGCCCGCAGCGTGTGGTAGCACGGTTAGCCGGCCGACGCCGGGTGGCAAACACGCGGCATTCATTTTCTGAATGCTGTCAGTTACTGTAGTTCCCATTCAGACGACTTGAACTGCCTGACAGCGCGACTTCAACATGTCAATACGGCTAAACCGTTGATCCATTGCAAAAACCGTGTACATGAAAATTGTAGACCTACCATCCATCTCCAACTTCTATTCAAGGATCATCATCTAATTCTCCATGGATCAGAAGTTACATCAAGCCAAAGTTGGCTTGATCCAACTGAAACTGGATTATGACTTAGCAAATTTTCTAAGTGTGAATTCAGCATGGAAATATGACTTGTGGGTCTTGTTTGAACATGTTCTAGCCATTTTCATGAGATGGTCATATTGAGACTTTTGTTCTTTGATAAATTGGCTACAACTTTGGTAAAGATTGCACAGCCATGCAAGATCTCTAAGTTGGTCTTTTGAATCAGTCAAATAGTGGCACTCTATAGGTCATTCTAAGTCAAACCTCCACTTGAGGGCATTTTTGTCATTTTGATCCACATGAACAATGTCCCATCAATTACCCAAGGTGTAGTTAAGGTGTATTAGACCATAATCAACCATTTTACACAAGTGCTATACCAATTTCTAATGATCACATGTGATGAAGCAACAAAACAATCAATTCACTCAAATGTTGTAATTCCATGTTTCACATGTTTCATTACTTTTGTTGCAATTTTTAACTGGCCACATTCCTACCATGTTGCCATGTTTCAAGGTATAAGAAACTCATGTTGCATTCACATGTTGCACTACTACCATTCAT